GAAGCTGGAGTCTCTGACTCCAAAGGGGAGGAGGGTTCAGCTTAGTAGGAGGGAGTTTCTTTTTTGTGTTGATGTTTTAGTTGTATGTTTGGCAGTATATTAAATCAATAAATAAAATAATTTTTTTAAAAAAAGAATTCCAGAGTATGGTTGTTGTGGGTTTTTCAGGCTCTTTGGCCATGTTCTGAAGGTTGTTCTTCCTAATGTTTCACCAGTCTCTGTGGCCGGCATCTTCAGGACAGCACTCTGTGCTCTGGTGCAGTTTGTTTGGGAGTTAAGTATTTATAGCTGTTGGGTCAGCTTTTGTCCTTTTCAGGAGATGGGTGATTATGGTGATCAGTGTGTTTTTGTTGTGGGTGTATTGTTGTGATAAGGAAGAGAGATTACCTGTCACTGACGGGTGTCGTTAGCTAGTCTTTTGTGTGTAGTGATCACCGGTCCTTATGGCTGGATAGAGTTCGCTGACCTTTTGCAGGCTGTATTTTTCAGTGTTGGGCGCCACGTTTTGTTGAATTTTAAACTTTCTTCTTTCTTGTTGAAGTTCTGCTGGTGTTTGTGGATTTCAATGGCTTCCCTGTGTATTTTAACGTAATGATTGCTGGTGTTGTCCAGTATTTCAGTATTCTGAAATAGAATTTCATGTCCAGTTTGTTTTAGGGAATGTTCAGCTATTGCCGATTTTTCTGGTTGTTTTAGTCTGCAGTATCTCTCATGTTCTTTGATTCTGGTGTTACTCCTGTCCTCTGAAGATGCCGGCCACAAAGACTGGCAAAACACTAGGAAGAACAACCTTCAAGAACACGGCCAAAGAGCCTGAAAAACCCACAACCACCATTGGATCCCGGCCATGAAAGCCTTCGTGAATACATTAAATTCCAGAGTAGATGGTATACCATACCTCTGTTGCCATTTATCAACTAAACATCGTGACTACAACAGACTCTTAATCTATCACCCCCACAAAAAGGGAATGAAAGAAACCAGCAATTCTACCTGCTCTATTCAAAACACAGACTTTGTCTATATACTGCTTGTATGTTTTTAAAGTATCCCATGTGACAAGTTCTCCCTACATATGTGCATTATGGTAGGATTCCACAGCTATTGCAACATGAAAAAAAAGACACAAATATTCCTCCCACAATGTGCCTAATACTTTTATTGCCTCATTTCCCCCATCATATGAAAGATATATTTACAATTACCTTGGTTTTATGAGCCAGCTGCTGTTCTATTTTATGTGGTCGGTAATTGCCTAGTAGAACCAAACCTGTGTTTGAACCTCATTGCAAGGATGAAATGTCTGCCTTCAAAAATTCACAGTGGAAACTCTACTTTGGCTTTCATCAAAAGCAAGTAGCTCTACCAACTGGACTCTTCAGAGAACCATCACTCTACAACACATCCAAGTATGCTAGGGAACACACTCCCAACCATGAGCTGGTATGTCTGTTTCCCGTGCCTGTAAATATGTGACTCTTGTTATGTTTATTATATTCATAGTTTATATTTTTGAATGCACTAGCATTATAAATATTGATTTATTTCTAAGAGGTTCTTTGGACCAATAAATGAGACTCACAAGAGTCACAGCAGTAGAAGCCCATCCTTTCAACTGAGCAGCTGGAACAACATGCCTGTCAATCAAATCCTAGTTCAAGGCTGCTGTCCATGCTTCCTTCTCCTGCTGCCTCACGGTTCCTTCCTGTCCACTTTTGCCTCCCATTCCTCCTACGACCAAGGATGACCAGCAGGGGCCCAAGTGCTGAGATTGGAGCAGGTGGCTTGTAGCATTTCTGTGCCAATTCCTCAGCCACAGACAGTTGTGAGAAAGAGAATGACTGGAGAGAAGAGTGACAGACTTGAATCAGCATTTAATGCATTGGTATGTTTATCTGGCAACTCATCTGAGAACATGAGCTTGCATTGTGGTTGATGAACATGAAGTGAGCCACTTTCTATTTGCCTTTGCCCTAAAGCTGGCAGCTACCCCAGACTGTCTGGGTGTGAATCAGCTGCACATGAAAAAAGAAGCATGTGCACCTGGATCCTTTGCAACAGCTTATTAGTTATTTCAGAGTGAGTCAAGCCTATTGGCCAAGAACACATGAATTTTATACAAGAGGCCCAAACCTTGCACTGAATCAGGCTAGACCTGATCTGAAGAATGAATGGCCCACTGAGACATCCAGTCAAAGTCAGCCAAACACGTTAATCGGCTCTTGGCCACATTCAAGCATCACCTATGCATGTTCTTTATAACCACACATAAACACATCTACCGGTTTGCCAAATCATTTTTCAAACAGGGTGAAGCAGAGAGAGAGGAATCTTACATTTCCCTTCAGAGCAGAGGATATGAGCAGCTCTAGAGTGACAAGTGACACAGAAGGCAGGCTGACCATTTTCCTTCTTTTACAAGATTATCCTTTCTATCAGACACCAAGGCTGCCATTCTCAACCTTTTCTTTTCTTTTTCTTTCCTTTTCAACCCCCCCCCCCCGTTAAACAAGACTATAACACAAACAGATATGTCTCAGAAACTTTTCACGTGTTTCAGTCTTTGCCCCCATTTAAATGTGCCAGGATCCCCCAGGGTTCCCATTGAGAATGGCTGCTCTAAGGTATCCTTTAAATCAAGGCCCAGAAACCCCAAATGTCATTGAGCTGTGACCCCCATCATCCTCCACCAGCTAACCTTACTATGGCTGACTGGAGTTGCAGCCCAACAACTTTGGAAGGGCATATGTGCCTCATCTCTACCACAGATTGCACAGAGTGCCTCTTTTTCAGATCATTACTGGTTTACTCTACATCCAAAATGTGTGGAGGAAGAACAGAATAGAATCTACTGCAGGAGCACCAGTGGATGTTTCTGCGTCCTTGTTCAATAGCATGGACAACAAAAAAGGTTTCAATCCCACTCAAAAATGTTAAATTGTAGAGTCTCTGATCTGCAGCCACTCAAGATACAGATTTATACCAACATATTCCAGTTCTCCCAGTACAAGGCTCATAGGTGCAGAAGATAATGAGGTCCACTTCAAAACCATCCAAGAATCAACATTTGCAAATGGCTTTGCGAAACAGATCTTGGGGTTCCATTAAAAAGCAAATGGGATCCTGCAGAATACAAGGCAAAGAGAATTTGTAGGTCACTAGCTGATGTGTCACTGGGTTCAACTTTTTCATAGCAGTACAGAACCAAGACAAAAATCCCTATGTAGTTAGATATAGACATGGGGATGAATATAAAAACAAGTTGTGATATTCAATGAATATAGCTGATTCATCAGATATTTGTTGCTTCCTATTCTTGAGGTCCAGAGACCCTGACAAATACAAAGCAACAAATATAACGCTTTTATATTCATCCCTTTGTCTATCCCTGTCTGCTTATGCCCCCACGGATCTGTTGTTCCTGGGGGGGGGGCATAAGCAGAGAGGGATTTTCCTTTTGGGCAGCTTACTAAAGCCTGCTTCGAAGTGAATCCCACCCACCCCCAGGGCATAGACAGGGGAAGCCTGGCCAAAGGAATTCTCCCCCCCCCCCAAATCTTTGCAAACAGCAGCAGGGGAGGGGGATCACTTCGGTTAAGGGGCATAGAAAGAGGAAGCCTGAACCAAGCAATATCCTTCTGCTGCCTTTGAAAAGACAGCAGGATGGGGGATCACTTTGACCAGGCTTCATCATCTTTCAATGCCCTGGACAGAAGAGGTGGCAGAGCAGGAGGAGGCAGCTGGGCAAAGTAAGCAACAATGGGAAGGAGTGGGGGCAAGCTGTGGGGGCAGAGGCTTAGCTTTTTGTTTGTTTAGATAGCCCCATGGACTGTCTTAAAAAACCCCAAAAGACTAGACAAATTGATTCATGGTGTGTGTGTGTGTGGGGATTCATGGTTCATCAAGTTCGACAACCCACAAAGTGCTTCATCCCCATCTCTAGTTAGATATGCTGCAAATAAATTTTTGATCAGTTCCCTTCTGAAGAAAATCAAGGGCAAAAACTAACTTCGAGGATTAAAAGCCAGAGTGAATACAATTGTGTTCAAATACATATAATCAACTATATTCCTGCACTTATTATTCTTTAATTTTAATAATAACAGATTAGCAGGATTTGTAATGTTTTTGATGGCTTTTCACACATATGGCACTCAGGCAAAACACCATCTCCAAAATAAAACAAAAGTAATCTCAGCATATAAAAAACAAACAAACAAACACAATCTACTAAATTAACAGAACACCATGAAATTTCTATTCTATTTATATTAGCTTAAGATCTTTCTCAGGTGCCCACTCTCCCCACCCCTCACCAAGATGTTCCATTTCTTGATCCAAAAAAAAGCACCAACATCTCCATGGCAACCCCCATTGCCAGCTGTCTTTAGGCAGCAAAGCACTAAGAAAGGCAAGACATAAAAAGTCCCCTCTTGGGCCAGTGTCCTCATCCACCTAAAGGCAGCATATGTTCTTTCACATCTCCTGAAAGTAGCAGCAGTTCTCCTGTCATGCCACAGAAGTCCAGCAATGGTTTGGAAATGGAGTCAGAGGCTGAGAAACAAGTACCGTATTTTTCGCTCCATAAGACGCACCTTTCCATAAGACGCACCAATTTTTTAGGAGAAGAAAACAGGAAAATATAATCTGTTTCCTTCGCTCCATAAGACACACAGACTTTCAACCCCCCTGTTTTGTGGGGAAAAAGTGTGTCTTATGGTGCGAAAAATACGGTAGTTCCAACAGAGATCTTGGTACCACTAGAGAACCAAAGACCATCACTGGAACAGCACACTCCCCTCCAAAAATCTATGATTCCTGGAGACGGTGCAGCCAACACCAGCCCCATGCTGGGCAGGAGCCCCTGGAGAGGAAAAGCCCAAGGATTCAAACCAGGGACCTTTCCCTTAAAGTCTTCCTGTTTATCACGAACGGGTGGAGCCTGGGATGGATGAACTTCATTCAGAGACATTTTCAAAAACTCGCATGAGCTTCAGACTTTGTCAGAATGCACTCCCTTTAAAACATTCTAGGTGTTGCACCATCTGACCTAACCTGTCCCCTTGCTGACCCACAACTTCCATTACTAGCCAGAACTTTTAGGTGTCAAACAGGAAGCTTCCACATTACCTTTTATCTTACCATTTTTCATTTTGAAATTGAACCTGGGATATTCTGTATCTACCAATGAACCCACCTCACTCTCAGATATGCCATCTAATTGACAAAAAACACTGTTAACTGTTCTTACAAAAGCACAAATAACCCACTACATTAACATGGGCAGATTAACAAGATTTTATTTTTAGACTACCCAGTGCAGTGTACTGGATAACCTGAGAGACCAGAACTCAGGAGGCCTGGGTTCAAATCATCATTCAGCCATGGAAACTCACTTGGTGGTATGGAACTGGTAAAACCACTCTTCAAATATCTCACCTTGAAAGCCCCATTAGGGTCACTCTATGTTGGTTCCAACTTGACAGCACTAACAACAATTTTTAAAACCGGTTTTGCAAGCTGTGGGACAAAAATATTAAGAAACTCTGATGATCTTACAGGTCATCCCTTTGGAAACCTGGTTGTTCCTTAGAATTAAATATAACATGCATACATCACTTGATTCATTCTTGCTTGCTTTCACTCTCCCTCCATTATCTTCTCTGTTGCAAAGCAACAGACTGCAGGCCTGCCATTACTAATTGGCGCAAACAGGACAGTGTTTGCTAGAATCATGCACAGATGTCCAGCTCTCCTCTAGCTCCGTTATGCTAAGCTCCATTGAGTGCTAATTTTATTGGCCTGTAGATGACCACTTCACAGACACAGCAACAATGGGAGACCAGCTGTTCAGTAACAATTGATTTATGAAGCGCTCAAACAGATGGTAAGAAAACTCCAGCCAAGGGCAGGGTGATACTTAGCAAAAGACACCCGTGCAAAAATATTTGGTGTCATCTCCATTTCCACACTCTTCCTTAAGGATTGCTGCAAATTTTTAGCTGTGTCTGCAAGATATATAAGACTGGAACATACTATTGAGTAAAATACTACGTTTTAGAACAAATAAATGTTCCGATTATTATTACCATTCCACTGATTATACATATGTAAAAGCTCAGCTCCAACAAACCATTGCACAAAGAAAAAATCAGGTCCAATACTTAGTGGCTCAGCTGCCCCAAACAAGGCTAATCTTCATGGTCTCATTTGCACTTAGGCTTCACATTGAAACAAAATTAGAAAGTATATTCATTTCAACACAGCTGGCAGCTGATTTCTCAACGTATCCCTGGTGTGGTCCTGAGTTTTTAACCTGTGAGTCTTTCTCCTGCTGGGTTCCAAGTTACAGTTAAACTATTGTCACATTTTTTTTCTAGCGAGACCACGAAAAAAGAAAGAATTCGGTGGGAAGACCAAGAAAGCCAGTATATGCTATGCAGAAACAGGCAAATTCTGTTCTAAACATTTTAGTAGGCTAAGACACACTTCTACAGAAAAAAGGTAATTCACTAAATTGCAGGACAAAACATGCATGCCACCAGCTGCCACTAACTCTTCCAGGAAGAAACTTGAACACAGTGACATGCACCTTAGTACAGTAATAGCTAGGCTATTATACACCCCAGACACCACAATAATAGTCTTTTTTTTACTAGTTACCTTTTTTTTTGCAATATCAGAATGAAAAGCAGCACTACATCGTAACCATTCTCTATCTCAGACACAAGAGTAAGCTCTCTGAATCTACCCAGACTTTAAATCTTTAAAAATGTGATCTGACCCATTTTGTTCGCTTTTAATGTCTGGAATGGGCTGATACGGCCCTGCAGTGGCATACTAACGTACAGTAATCCTCTTTCACCCCGTGGCTCTCCCATGCGTAATGACCCAACTGAGCCGGTTGCTTAATTTGCCCTAGTTATCATTCCAGACCGAACACCAATAAGATCTTCTGGAAACAAGGGCTTCTTGAATGAACAAGAGAGAGTTTCTTCCTGTTTCCATTTGTGCTACTCAATTAATGCCATGACACACATTTATCTGAATACATGTCAGACACAGCCAGATGGAATATTCTGTTGATACTTCAGATTCTTCTTCTTGATTAAAGAAAAGGTATTTTACATACAGGTGATAGTCCACATACATTAAAATAGTCATTAAAATAAGAGGAAAAGACATCTGCAGTCTATAAAGTCCAAGCTGAGAAGACAGGCCACCAGTGAAGGTTCAAATCCTCTCAGTCTAGCCCTGTGAGAAGAAAAAGATTCCTGTGAGAAGTTTAAAAAAAAGAGAGGAGTGCCATGCATGTCACTTTGAGCTCCTGGGAGGAAAGAATAAATACAACTAATAAAGTACAGTATATCCGTCCATTCTACCTCAACATCAACACCACCAGAGACTTACAGTGATTCCAAAAGTCTAATTTTATTCCACCAGACAAACTGATCCCACATACAGTCCACCAACCTCAACATAGCCTTTCGTCCCTGTGCTGTGAAATGCCAAGTGCTTGACAACCTCTGTGATTTGAAGCTTGTGGTAGGGAACAGCCAAGAACAGATTATCAATTCATTGATGGACCTTTATATAGGATTTGGGATGGGGGTGCTCTAGTCACATTGATGAGCCATATGTTGTGTAGGCTTGCAGTAAGAAATAAACATTTGTCAACTTTCTTGAAACTGGGAAGCTGCACTGAATTTTTCTGCCCACGTTTGCTTTAAATGCTATTGTTTTACTGACAGCACGGCATGCTAACCTTCTTAATTCACTTCTGTACTGAAGACTTTTCTCTAATTTTCCAGTTAATTAGTCAAAATCAATTTTGCTCACTGTCAGCAAATTGACCATTAATTTTACATAATCTCGGAATTAATTAACAAATAGTGCTAGAGATTAAATGAAAAATCAATACCTATTACCTTTCTGATAATTAGAAAACTCACCCTGTCTTGCCATCATATACACAAATAATCTGTGTTCTTTGCCTAATACTATTTGAGCTTTCTTGATGTGTGGCAAACTTTAAAACAAACAAAAAATGAAGATGTAACAACATCACAAGAGGGTCATGCAAATGTTCCTTCATATCTATAGCAGAAGAATAAGCCA